CTCGATCACAGATCAAACCAAAATGCGTTTAACAAGTGGGAGAATGCTATCATCCTGCAGTCCAAGGTCCTTCATACCAGAACCAAGCACTTTTCTACTCTACCTTTGCCTTCATCTTCACATCAAATCAATAGTAAGATACTTTTTGGGCAGCCTATATCTTTTTGCTAAAGACGTTTCTATAACTTTTGCAGTCAGAAATGCAAGTTAAAGGGTTGAGGGGTTTTTCGAGGTTTTGTTTGTTTGTTTGTTTAAGTCCAGCTGTGGCTCATTCTCAAAATGATTTAAAATATCATTTGTGTTTTGCATTTACAAAGCTAACGCAGGCCTCTTAAACGAGACCTTACATAAGACCTTTATTCTTCTGTTTGTGTCCAGATGTCCAAGCAAAATGATATTTTGGAAACTTTGCTACTCTTGGTAGCAGTGGCAGCCCAAACAGCCACCTGTAATTTCTGTGCCACATAATGAATGAATGTGCTGAGCTCAGGACTGAACTGGAGCTCCAAGCACCCAACAAGTGCCAGCCCTGAAAGGTTGCTGCTGACATGAGAAGTACAGCCTGCTCCTTTCATTTCCAGCTTCTATATCAGCACTTGTGTGCAACTCCCTTACAAAAAAAAGCACAAGCCATGCCAGATTTCAGTAAACACAACCTGATTCTGCAAGAGATTAAGCAACTCTTGACAGGCAAGAGGATATGGTAAACAGGAGAGAGCTTTTAAGGACAAATCACATGCAGACATTAACGTCGCTCCACAGACACAGACTAGCCACTGCAAAAGGAAGCATGTAAACACAGTAGGTATGTGTAGCATATTTTTCAGAGAAATCATAATTACCTGTAGAATTGAGAGGTGCATTAACAGGTTGGGAATTTCTGCTTTGATTAACACAGGCTGCTTGGAAAAAGAAAAAAAAAAAAAAGCAATCCAAACAATCCAAAAATCATGACAGCTTTTAGGTTTAAACCAGAACTATCTTGTGGTCAGGCCTCCTCTTGATTTTAGCTGCAGCAGCAGCACCATAGGCAACTCACCACTTCACCCAAGCCTCTCTGGCTCTGGGCCACACAGAACTGCTCTTTGGTTCTGCTCAGCTTCTCCCAGGCCCTCACTAGCAGTTACAAACTGCATGCTTCTAAAGGAACAACACCAGCGATCAAAAGGAACCTAAAGCTTGGCTACCCACAAGGAAAAAGCAATTATGTTCTAACATTACTTTTTCCAGAAGCCACAGTTCTGGAAAAATTGTAACTCTATAAGACAGACAGGACACGTTGCAGACCTCTGTATCTTCGCACAAACCTCTGTTGCTGCCAGCAAGTGTAGCTGTCCTCACATCAGTATCCCCACCTGAGTACCAGTGCCAGCACTAAGGATAGAGCAGGAATAAGAACTAGGGCCAGCTTGGAACACTTGTATTGACGGGGTCACAGCAGTTCATGGACAATAACCAAGTAACTTTGTGCTCAAACACAAAACAAATTGCAAGAATGAAGTAGTGACTCCAGAGAGGTTGAAAGCCTCTATTTCCCAAACTGGTGCTTTTCTAAAAGCTAGCATTTAGACATACATGAATCTCTCCAAACACACAGTGAATTATTTTTGTTTTCCCGCTCCACCCAGCCACTCCATCATCATCTTTCTTCTTCTATGGTCATCTTCCTCTAGTTTGTGTTCCGTGATGCAACATTTTCCATACCTCTTCCCCTTTCACTGGATGATCCTGTCTACCTACCCATCCTCTTAAGGACAGATCTTCCTAACTGCTCATGACAAAGAAAAAGAGACTGACAGAAGCTACACAACGTACATGGAGGCTCAATCTTTCCCAAGATTGAGAACTCTCAAAAAAGCCATGCAGGCAGACAGGGCTGAGCTCTGACCACATGTCAGATAGGGACAATCCCCCAAGCACACTCCCATGTCTGCAGGCTGTTCTCTAACCCTTTTTTAGGTTGTGAACTTTTCAGGCAAAGACTGTTTCTACTATCCTCATTACACTCCGGTTCTGACCAGACAAGAAAAAGGAACATCACCAGTGACTTACTCCATTATAAACAGCTGTCTTTTAAATATTAAACCAAATAATTGGAGCCCTTTCTCTCACCCTGGTCACTGTCAAATAAGAAGTTTTGCTGATGCTCTTCTCAGTTTAAAGGAAGTAGTAAGGTATTGCTGTAGTACTGTAGTCACTGATGCAGATTAGAAACACCACAGACAGTGAATGTCGGCTTTGATTATTTTTTTTAATTATTTTCCAGTTCAGAGGGACAATATAAGAAAAAAGCATAGCAAAAAGTTCACTGACCCTATTTATTTATTTATTTATTTTTTCAATCTACTGCTGCACAAATATTTGAACTCACAATAACAATACACAAAAAAGTACACACCTGTTATAAGAGCACAGCCCTCACTTCCACACAAATCCTAAAAGCATTAATCTACACATAACTTACACAGCACTATTTCTGCAGGACTACTCTTCCCTTGCTTAGGGATGCCTACAATATCACAAGGTCCAGTTTTCACAGCTAATGGGGACTATCTACTGCTATTTCAGATGACATAGCCTCTCTAGACTAATAAGCCCTATTACCAATGACTCAGGCACCAGGAATACCACATATTCATTTCCGAATCCTGAGGTTGGGATGGCACAGTATTTTAGTCAGACTCAAGTCCAGCTCATATGACAAATGTCAGATTAGATAGACTGCAATGTCAGTCTGCTTCTTTGCTAAGGAAGCCGTCAAATTCCTAGAGACTCAAAGGCCCTTGGGAAATGATTTTGAATCAGAGGAATGCCACCCCTAACAAAATTATTTCTGATTTAATGGGAAGACTCACCATCACACTGCTCAAGCCCATTGAGGGGTGCAGGCTATAGCCACCCCAGGCTGTGTGACAGCAGCAGTACACAACATCTTATGAAAAACAAGTAAAGGAGCTTCCCTTTCCAAGCTATGGCTGACAGAATTTGTGTGCCAAAGAAAATCTGACAAAAGCATGCTGCTTTTAGAACACTCCTTCCGCTTTTTCTGCTACACTGACCAAACTCCACGGGTTACTGAGTTGAAGTGTCATCAAAAAAAATAAAAAAAGAGAGTTTAAGTGAGTAAGCACATCAGTTTGATACTATTATAACGAGAAAAGAAGGAAGATATTCAGAGCATGAAACGGGTTAGTTGTGATACTTAGTTACTTCACTACTGAACACAGGGTCTGTTCTGCCCTTTTCAGAATACCTGGAATCCCTCAAAGCAGCAGAGAGTGCAGAGACAACAAGGAGGCAGGACTCAGCATCACAGCATACCTTGGTGCCATGATTTAGTGATCTATTCTACTTGTGCACTGCAAACAAATCACCCAGTGTTATCATTTGGGCTTAGGGCTGCGTATCTTCATTTCCACATATGACACTGCTGCTATCCTGCAGACCAGTCTGAGGAGCAGTCACAAATTTCTTCTGTGCTCCCCGTTCATCAGTGCAATCAAGTCTTCATGCCCCAAGACATACTGAATTGTGTTTGAGCAATTAAGCCACCTATACACATTACAGGAACTGTCTCAGAGCTACCAGAATTTCTTCATATCTGCAACATTGGGCTTCTGAAATATGAGTAGACAAAAGCCTTCCAGTCTGTCCCATCAAGGGAACTTCCCCATCCTCCTTTCACAGAAGAGCAGAAAAAGGCTTATGCAGGACATTCTTTGCAGAGGTGGTCACCACCCTTTTTCACAAAAACAAATGCAAAACCTCAAAGCAGACATTGTTTCTCCAACAAGATAAGGATCGTGGTTTAATAGAGCATCCAGTAGGAGACCTGTGTCATTAGAAGTCTAAGATGAGTGACTTCCCGGCCTGCGTAGGAAAGCCAAACAAGGTTTGATATCTACTATTTGCATATTTCATTACAGGTTCTGGATGACTTGCAATTAGAGGTGAGGACAACAGCACAGGCAAGCCATGAACATCAACTGAGCAAGATTAGTTTGGTAGATCCCACTGCCTACCTATTTAGCATGCAAAATAGCAGTATCCTCACTCACACATCTAATTCCAAGCAATTCTTTATTCTACAAGGCCAAAATATGCCACCCAGCACCAGAAGAAAAGGAGCTAGACTATACTTTTACACTACTTCAGATTCCAAAGCAATCAGGAGTATCATCACCCTGTGGAATTGCCTTGAAAAAACTATCTCCTCATGTTATTTGTGATCAAAGTTTTTTCTCACCACTACATTACATATAATTACTACAATCCTCCATCCAGCCAGTATCAGCGTATGGCAGGAAGCATCACTGGGCCACTACATTTTGATTTAATGCCTCTTGCCATATATTCACATTGGTTGGGCTGAAAGGTATAACAATCAGAACATAGCATTTCTGATGAGATGAAATGATGATAATACTCCTACAAATCAGAAGAGGACAGTCTAAAACACTATTTCTGCAAGAATCAGCTCTCCCTCAAGGAAAATGAGGAAAGTGCTATTCCCCAGGAGCCAAAAGGAAACAGCTCTTATCACGCACAAGCAAATATTCACTCTTGTAATACTCAAGTAACAGATTACAGAGGCCACATCCTGAGTTTTTTGGTAAAAGATGCACGATACAAAGAGCACATAAAGAGCTTAACAGAAGAGATTAAAAAAAAAATTCTTACTGACAATAATTTGGGACAGTATTTCCTCCTGATGCCTGGAGGATCATGCTATGGGTTTGTTCAAGCAATTCTCTTCCTCCAAGATCACACAAAACATGAAGAGATGGTGCTTTTAAAAACTGAGGGCATCCTTTGAACTCCTCTCATATATTTCCTCTACCTACAGTACACATTACACCTACCAAGCTGGAATAATAAATGTGTTTTGAGACAAGGCATATGCACCACAATCAGACCACTGACTCATCGAAATGACACACTGACTAAAGAGATAATGCACTGGCTAAAGGAAGGCCACGTAAAAAGACAGAAGCTGTTACCTGTGAGTGGAGAGGGAAAAGTATCCACAAAATTAAAAAGTTCCTCACTGTTCTCAGTGCTGTGTGGAGACAGAAAGCCCTCTGCTAGGTCACAGACAGAGGGGAGGTCCACTGTGCTGCTCTCTTCTGAGTGATGACTTGGTGATGTCTCCTCTCCGTCCATGGTCCCACTGTAGACATAAAAACCTAGCTCAGTCAAATGTTTAGCATAAAAATCTGAGCAGAAATCAACCCAGACAATCTTTGTTCAACTGCTCACTTTGTGATAGAAACTGTTTCAATATATTGGTACTGAAGTAGAGAGTAAGATATTAAAAAACAACTACAAAAAAAAATAAACAAAAACCACACACACACCACCACAGCAATACCAAAAACCATAGACAATAACCCTCAGTCCTGAATTGGATAACCAAGAACCCACAGTCAATCAGATTTTCCTAGAGGGTTGTGAGAAGTACAGAATCAGGCCCCAGCACTAGAACAGTACTGAATATACTCTGCTGTGAATTTACTATGTGCACAATTTTGAAAGGAAATATGTTCTTTGGGATCTCATCTGCCTCACTAATCATGCTTCTAGATACGACAAGTTAAAAGCATTCCTCCTGGCTCTGTTCATAAAGTTCATCACTCTCAATAGCAAAAGAAATGAATATCCCTGCAATTTCATCCTGCAGGCATGGCGAGGATTTTCTGGTGTGAGGGAAGTTGAACTGTATATTCCACACACAGTACTTTGGAAAGCTGTAGCTGAAGCACCCCCACATCCCTACACCCTTCTTTAGAGCTCCTTGAACCAGTTCACCAGGGCAGAAATACAGCACTGAGTGGAGAGCAGAGCTGGTACTGCCCAGCTTCACAGTCAGCATCACACAGAGTAGGAAACAATGCTGGAGAGAACGGAACTAAAACATTCCCATCAAGCATCTCCAAACACAGCTGCACAACACCCTCAGTTTCATTTTAATATCTCAGTCACAAGCCTTAGCCACCAGGAGCTCACACAACCACTCTCTGCTTCTTTCTCAATACACAAATACTTTACAGAACATTCTAATTCAGTTCTTGGTCTGAAAAACAAAACAATTCAACCACAGGCAAGCGGAAGGTTATAGTAAGAGATGCTGGCACGGTAGCAGAACAGTCTGAGGGCAATACTGACATAGGTGGGCTGCTGCAATCCTGGGCCTCTTTGTAGCAGTCTGTGTTGGCCTCTTCCCCGTGTTACCACAACAGAGCTAACAACATTTGCAGCCATGCGATTATAAGAACCAGACAGCTGTTCCTAATGGAAACTAATGACTACTTTTTCTCTTTTTTCTTCCTCAGATCAACTCTGTCAATTGCTCCAACACTTCACAGCATTTTGACCACATAGGGACATTTGAATCAAGGCTATAGTGGTCCTACTGGTAGAACTGGTGGGGAGATGTGTTTGTGAGGACAAACAAGACCTCAGCTCAGCCTTGGCCCTTCAGGCATGTGGAAGGGACATGCTGTTAGCCCTGTGCCATACCTAGGAACAGAACTGGTATGGGAGCAGTCCTCTGGGACAGGTGCCAGATGCAAAGAGCTTGTCGTTGCTTCAGGATCCTCTCCTTCCTTCACGGTTGGTCAATCTCAGCTCACTGGAATGAAACAAACAGGCCTGTTACATGCTTTGCATCAGCTGAGTGGGCCGACTGGACAGCGTGACCTTTCAAAACACATATGCCACCTGAAGTCAACAGCCAGTCATCACATACATTGCTGTTTGTCAAGGCTGGCACAGCTGAAGATTTTTTCTAGGAATCAGAAATAGTACATCTAGTAATGCCCTTGAATCATCTGACAGTGACGGAGATCTCCTGGAAAGGACTCAGAACACACTAGAAATCAAGCCCGCACCTTCTTTACAAGCTGTTGCTGTTTACTCAAAACCCGTGAAGCAGAGGAGCAGGTCACAGCCGATAACCTTTCTTCCTACCAGCAGTGGGAGCAATGGCTACAAGCTTTCCCCCTCTCGCTACGGAGGAGAAAATCGGGCTGAAGCAAAACGCTGATTAAGGGGCGATAAAGTGAAGTGTCCCGGCCCGCTCCCTTACCGCCCCTCAGGCCCCGCGCCCCGCAAGCAGCAGGGAGGCGAACGCGCCCACCACCAGAGCGCCGCAGGCATAAGAGGCGGGCGGCGCCATCTTGGTTCGGGGCACGCGCGCTGCCGGAGGGCGGCTCCTCCGTGTGGGGGGGGGGCGGGGAGAAGAATACGGAGGGGAAAGACGTGCTGGGAAGAGCTGGGGGTGAGGAACTGCATGGTTTAAATGGTTTGGGGTGAGGTTTGTTGAAAGGCTGGGGGGTACGTGACGACGCGGGAGTGAAGTCCCCGCCACCAGAAAAGCTCTGGCAGCGGGATGCTCGGAAGGTACCGCTGGCTCCTGAAGCAGCACGCAGCTGCAGCAAGCAGGTGTGGCAGGGAAGCTGTGATGCTCGTAAGCAGCCTTCTCCAGCTCACCAGTTCCTATCTGTGGCATTAGGCGGATATCTTTGGACTTCCCCTTGTTTTCTTCACAAGAAGGGAGGGAACCCGTGCCCTGCTGCTAGAGAAGCACACTCCCCTGCTATCTCTGTCTTGGTCATCTCCAGCCTTCACCTTCACTTCTCACATGAGTTACCAGCGCAGAGATTCCACCTGCCTGCTTTATGTGGGGAAGTCTCTCGATGTGCACTATATTCCTTTGTGTTGGTGCGTTCACATTAGCACACATCAAAACTGTGCCAGCTGCCACGTCTGAAGTTGGTTAGAGCAAGGCCAAGAAATGAGCCAAGAAATGCAGAATGAAGCCTCATGCTTGGTAATTTGCAAAGATCAACTGAGGCACACATGGGAAAAAGGAAATGCTTTCTGACTATTGCAGCTCTGTCGCAAAGGGAGTTTTCAGAGTGTTGACAGTTTCAAGACCAGTTTTAAGCTATACAGTTTCATGTCACTGAAGCTAATGTGTATCTACTGACTTACTACCTTAAAGAGTAATTGAGATGAAAAAAAGATCTTCTCGTAAACAGCAGGCCTAGGAACTTCATGTATTTCATTCCTTTCCCACTGTCACACCACAGAGGAGCAACTCTGTTGACAAGACTTCCTCCTTTCACAATAGCTAGACATGAATTTAGAGCATGAAAACAGAACAATAGCTGAACAGCTTCAGCTCAGCAGGAAGTGCCCAGGGCAGGAGGGATGCAGAGGAGGGTTTGAACACGGCTGATTTTTTCCCCATTGAATCGTATAGAGTTTGTTCTGTTACTCTCACAACTGAAAGCATGAAAAGATAGCAGTATTTAAATCCATTTTATGCATGCACTCTGCTACCCAGCTCTAGAGTTCACTATTAAAATTGATGGAGGATCTGACTGTGCTGGGTTTCCACTGAGAAGCCCTCTCGAGCTCTCCAGGCAGCACTTGACATGCTTTTGCTCTATACAAACCTCTTGCAGTTATGCCAGTAAGGAGCAAAGGAAGGTCAGAAGACACCTGTCATTCTTTAGTGATTTTTTTTTCACAGTCATCATCTCTTCACCTTTAGCTGTGTTCTTTGCTTTGCACCATACCCTAAAACTGACTGATTTATCCAGCTGAGTTAGCTCATCAGATAAAGTATATTAACAGTATCCAGGACCACAAAGAAACGTGTGTTTCATGTTTTGGCACATCAAAGCAATCACTTAAACCAGAAAGCCTCCCTCTAGGCTATCAGTTCCACTTAAACTGAAATATTCCTCCTTGTTATCACTGACTCCAAACAATGATAACTGAAGGGCTAACGGGGTTTGGTGTGACATGCCCTATCACAGCCTAATGCATTACCCTAACCCCATAAACTATACTCCAGTACTTCTCTTTGGGATGGGTTAGGGTTACTAACAGCAAGCAATCCTCTGTATTGCAAAAAATGGGTCAGCCAAGCATCTGAAAAACAGCCTGTGCTGGCCTTCTTTGCCTGTAAGATAAATAATGCTTTTTGCTTCCTGTTTCAGTAATGAGAAGTTTAAGCCTTTTACTTGCTGTAATCAACACCTTAAGGTACAGGAAATTTCAAAGACCTAATGATATTTCTGCTGTATCACATGCCAGTAAATTGACTTCTTTTTTATTTTTTTCCCTCCTGGGAATATGTTCCTATGGAACTGCAAGTAATATCTGACTTTTTAAGGTGCAAAACCAAGCTTGAAATCATGGTGGTAGACACCTCGTGTTTTCCCCATGTCTTTACTCTGTCTTTTGGAATTTTATGATTTTGGGAGAAACTTGCTCTCTCTTCAAAAAATAGTTTTCAGTGGCAAAGCTTGAAAAACCGAATGTTGAGGATATTTAAGTACAATCAAGAGCAGAAAGGAAACCTCTAGAATATTTAGGATTGTCAGTGTTAGCCTCATCAAGTCAGCTCAGAGCCTGAAGAGCTTTTATGTATGTGAATCCTATTCTGATTCATTCCTGACATCCTCTTCCACTCTATGCACAGGAGGAAACTATACAAAATGTAAGAACTAGAGTTCACAGTGTATGGCTGCCTCACATCCTTTCTGTTCTCCTGTTACAGCACCTGGAAGATCTCTGCTCTTCTTTCCCAACACTTCTGCTTGCCTTGATAATTCATCACCCCTCCTCATTCACCTCACTCTGCACAGAAACGTCCTTTTCACTGCTCCTCTCAGCCTTTTTGTCTTTTGAGGCCCCTCACCACACTTAAATAAAGCAATTTACTCCCAGTTCTCCTCTTTGCCAATACCAGTTGTGACCTCTGAACCAGTGCTTCCTTTAGTATTTCATCCAAATGACCCTTACCAAAGCTCTCAATTGCTAAGACAAGGTGCCAAATAAAAGCCACACTCCTGTCCATCAGCTGCTCTTCTCTGTTCTTGAACCTTTGCTGTCCCTTCGTTTCTATGATCATCTTTATTGTACTCTGCTTTCTCCCTTGAAATTTCCATTGGTGCATCCTTGTTGAGAATGTCTTAATCCTGCCACCAGAAGCCTCTCACTGAGGGAGACAAGCACATTCAGTTCCATCCTCTAGCAACAGATTCAAGTAAAGAATAGACATCAGTATCAGGTTCAGAAACCACGGAGAGAAACCTATCTCTTACAACCCCCTGCCAAATTCCGTCCCCCACTTTTCCTGGATTGAGTGCAGGAAGCATGACTCCTGGCCCCTCTGACTGATATGTCCTCTTTTCTCTTGTGCTACCCACTTTGCCTCTGCTGCATCTTGAAGCAACTTTGAAGGAGAGCTTCTTATGATGCTAATACTATTCTTGTTCTGCTTAAACTTTCTGTACAGTAGATGCAGATGTTGGGTTCTGTGGGGCCTCTTTCCCTCCCAACAAAGGAGCCTTTCTGCATCTTGCAGCCATGAAACAAAAGCATCATGTGAAGGGAGGTTATACACAAAGCACACTATGGCTATGCTCTCATTTTGTACCCAAACACAACTTGGGGCTGTGTTAACTAGCATTTATTTGCTTCTTCCAGGTTCCCCCTCCAGAAATGTATTTCTATATTAGTCTCAGCACCCACACTCTTCCCTTGCATTCCTGTTTCCAGGGCTTTTGTACATCCTAATTACTCTTTGGTGCCTGTGGTGCAGCTGCTGTCTGATGGCAGTCCTGCACTTCGCAGCTGTGATAGAGGAACATGGAAGAGCAGATATACTTGGAGTAACAGATCTTACAGCTCATCTTTTGTTCTCCATTTGGGGCAAAATAACCCTTTAAGCATCAGTGATCTGATGTTTATCCCATTTCACTCTGATTTTAACTCTATGAACCTAGTGAATTTCAGTCTCAGATTCTCTAAACCTTACAATACACAGCAGTCAGCAACAGGACTGTGATTACACTGGCATAAGTGTGTGTCTGAATTTCCAGATCCAGAATTTCCAAAGAGCTCCCTGGACTCTGGAGAGAAGCTGTTACAAATGGGCCTACATATGTCTATTCACACATACATATCCCCCAAAGATTTGTCATGTTCTCATGCCTTCAGATCTCCAGGGAATTTCCAAAAGATACTTCCAGCCTGACTTGAAGTAAATAGTCCCACAGGAAATAAGGGTTGGCTCCATGCCTGGATTTTCCAGTGCCTGATGTATTAGGGATGTCCAACCAGAAGTGTCAACAGCAGCATTCACAGCACTTTGCTCTGGGTCTTCTTATGCTCAGGAGCTGAGCCATTTTCACTGGACATGTACATTTGTAAGGTCTCTCCTCTGTCTAGTAACGGAGTTTTGTTACAGCATGCACATTAGCTCCAAGACCATTACCTGTTTATCAGGTTAGATCAGAGTTCAAAAGTAACTTGAGATCATCACGAATGCATTGGCTTTCTTTCCCTTGGAAGCTAGGCTAAAAGTAAATAAAAAAGTCATGTCTTTTCTCTACATGGCTGCTGGAAGAAATTGCCCTGTACTTATGCACTGCATTGTCTGCCCTGGCAGTTCTCTCCAGTGTATTGCTCTGGGGAATTTCTAACTAGGTTCTGCAGCTGTCTGCATACTGTTTTATTTTAATTAACTGAGGGTCACATTCATAAGACATAAGATTGACAAGGGCTTTTGTAGTAATTATACCCATTTATTCTTGAAGAGCATCTTTATGATGCTCTTTACGATGGAGTTTCCAGACTAATCTGGTTCAATGCATTTTGATTTGAGACAAGTCCTATTACCTGTCATCTCAACTGTTTGGGTGATGGCTCTTTGGGAGTAGTTACACTGTCATTTTCCTGTGATTTTTATGAGGTTATGGTTGCCAAGCTCTTCTCTAAGGCCCATCCAAGATATGTTCACTTCTAGCATTTGAAGTCCAGCTTCAAGTGCTTAGTCCCAGCTAAAGGACTGAAGCCAGGTACAAATCAGTTCCGCTGCATGAAAGGGGCACTGAAGAGCTGGAGATGTGCTGCTGGTAGATAGTGCCACAAAAATGTTCCAAGCACTGTTAGCTCTTCTCCACTACTCCACCTGGTCAGGGCAGGGCTCTTTCCTTGTTATTCAGAGCCGGAGCTGTGAAATGCTCCCAGAGTCCTGACTTACCTGGGAGGCCTAGCAGTTATCATTAAAGGAAAGACTTTTATTCATTGCTACCTTTTTGCCTTAGGCTATTCAGCAGTAAATAGTTTTGTGCCTTCCTCTTTGAAGCTGCTAG